GTGGGAATGTTATTTATTTATTTAATTATTTGAACACATAAATATTGGTACAAGGGGGCACCAGATATATATGCGCCACACAAAACAATGAGAATTCGAAGAGAAAAAAAGAAAGCAAAGAGCGTAAGAAAAAGAACAATAACGAACAGATTAGTGTAAGGTAGTGTAATAGTAATAAAATAATAATAATAGTAATAATAGGGGAAACGGAAAGGTACAATCAGAAGAAATCTTTCATTTAAGGAAGTAAAAACCATTTTTTACGAAGAAAGTAAAAGAAGGTTACAGCAGGATTGCCACTGGCTTCTATTCTGAGCCATATCTGATAAGGTCTCTAGCCACTGTGTTGCACCATCTCTAGGACCCCGGCCAGGCAGTCGTGAAGGACCAGCAGAAGCCAGCCCTTTGCAGCTTTATTTCATACCACGACACCGAGGCCAGCAAGAACAGACGAAGATGCCACAGGGTCCCCGGATAAACGCACGTAAGACAAGCTTTTTGAAGCGACAGATGAAGAGTGAATTTGTAGTACTTCACCAGAGTCTTGAATACGGGTCTCGGATAGACAACAAACGTCGATATTAAGACTTTTCAAAGACATAGCCAGCCCTATCTGTTGTCTGACCTGCATAAATGTGCGAACGTTGAAGGCAGCCAGTTTGTGTGGGATACGTGGTTTCAGAAAATCTGCTTCAGTATTTGTATTTGGTGGTAACATACACTTTTCAACTGGGCAGTGACTCAAGAATGTTTAGATAGAACCGAGTTTCCACCATAGGCAAGCTGCTGTATAAGTCGAAAAATAAGGACACATAAAGTGGGAATAAAAGAGAATGAATAAATGACGTAAAAAATAATTGTAATAAAAATAATCGTAATAATAATAATAATAATAATGTGTATCGTTTGATTGTTGATCGAAGCAAGACAAGTATTTTCCATAAATATTGACATCTCATCATTTTTTGTGATGATACTGTTCGGGTGCTCAGACCGAAACAGGTGGTTTTCTTAGGGGGCCACACCCCGAGCGTTTGACCTAAAGGTCTGACTCACAAGGCAGTAGAGCATCATGAGGAGATGCAGTCCGATGGTAGCCGGTGACCAACCATTGGTTCATACGCCATTTGTTCCCTCACAATCCTGGAGCCCATGTGCACCATTGGTACGAATGTTATCCTTACCTTGCCGATGCTTACCTTTACGTCTGCATCACATCCTTCTTGTTTATCGATGATACTACCCGGATACGTGAAATTTCTTATCTATTCCAATGTTTCTCTATCAAATGTGATTGGGTTATAGCTAAATATATTTAGTATTTCTGAATGAAAGAAATCAATTGTTTATTGTTTTAATTGAGTAATTCAGTTTCAAGTAAATTTAACGAATCATTATGAATTTTAGTGTCTATGACAAGAAGAATATGTACAGATGAAAATAAGGAGAGATTTGAGTAATAATTTGCATTTAGTTATTATATATAAACTTATGTATGTCAATTCATATCCGAAATCTATATTAGTTATAACTTAAGATACTGTCAATGAATCCCATATTAGAAGTTTTTAGCTATTCGTTGTGTTATATCTTGATGAGAATTAAATTACACGTAACATCTGAGACCTATTCATGGACTAATATTATCTATATATTCTTATGGCATAACTATTCAGTAACCGGATTATGTATATCTGTATTCATCTTATTATAAGCTTCATTTTGACCTATAGACTATTATGATACAATTTAATGTTCCCAAGTTATGTTCAATTTATTGATTACAATCTCCCATGTTCACAGCCACTTTTTGGCTTGATCTTGTATAAATGTCATTTCCTATTTTATGATGTGATGCGGTCTGTTTGGTTGGTATATAAATCAGGTATGTTGGAAATAAATGGTTTGCATAGTGGAAGCTGTCAGTAGCGTTCTGGACTAAACTGGCAGTGCTAGGAGGGAAAAAGACCAATAAGGACACTAGGCTGCTTATACCGGTCGAACGTTATTGGCTTGGCATAGTGCTAAGATTGTATATGCCATATTTCGATTGGTGAATGAATCACGTGATAATCAGCCAGGCTTAAAGTCACAACTGTTTCATGGTTTCCAATTCCTTCTTCTTAAAAGTTAATCATCAGTTTAAAAGTTTAAATTCAATAGAAAGTATCAAATTCTATAATAAAAATCTTATGTCTCTTAGAAACAAATTGACAGATAATTCTCTATGTGTTTTTTAGAGAGATGTAAATCAATGTTAAACCATTTTCATTAATCGAAGTAGATAATGATTAGGTAATATTATGAATTAACTGAAAATAGAAATGTAAACTACTGACTATAAACTCTATGGTTCGAAAGTTAATCATTCATCAGGAAGGCCTTAATGCTAGATTTGATCTCTAGTAGGATAATGGATGCATACTATCATTTTTATTATTTTGATAAATGAAAAATTTCGTGGATCAGTTGAAGTTGAACAATAACACCGTTGGATGCCGGCAGACTCTGTGGTCACGCGAGAGACCGATAAATCCTGAGTTCGAATCTCTCTAGGCGAGATCGTCGATGCGCACTGCTGAGGAGTCCTACAATAGGACGAAACAGCCTGTCCAGTGTTTCCAAGTTTTCCATATTGGTCTAGCTTCAATTGGCTCATGATCTCAACTATTGAAATGAAAAATTCTTCAATGTTTTTAATTCTTTTAACAAATATTTCCTAACTGAAATAACAATAAAAAATACTTTGTTTTCTATAAAGCTTGATATCTATTACATAATATATTATTTATATTTACTTTTGGATAACTACTATCCAACTGGCTTTAAAAAAAATGTGTGTTTGATCATTTTGTTACCATATGTTACCATATGTTCATTCTTTGTATCGATTTTTTTATAAAAAAAACAAAAACATGATTGTCATCAGTCGAGATTATCATACATCAGTACAGTTGTGGTGTGTGTTACTGATATCGACAGATATAAGTTATATGTATCATCAATCAAAAGTGATATAACTGCCAGTAGAAGATTAAGAAAATCAAAGAGAAGAGAACAAGAACATAGAATGATTATTGTAAATGTGAAGGAACAATGAAGTCTGAGACAATTGATTGATATTTTCCAAATGGTTCTCAGATTTAACTAAGTGATTCTGTAATGTTTGGTTGTCCCCACTTGTATTCTCATTCACTACAATGATAATCAAAACTTTGTATTATATAACTAATAAAGCAGTTAAAGAAGAACTAACTATAACTTAAGCTGAACATTTCAATTATATGTAAATGTTAATTGGATATTAGTAAATGAAGTATCTGAGAGAAATCTTGTTTCTTTTGTTAATGACAATGAGTTAATAAAAGAAAATCAAGATAATTTGATGTAACATAAAAGTGACACAATGATCATAATTATCAATAAAATTAAATGAATCACTTTGGATTCATTAAAGAATCATACAACATACTGTGATATGTGTATATAAAGGGGAAATAAATTGTAGAAATAGATGCCTTAGCAACAGAATTGTATATCAAAAAGAGGGGTTTTTTATGGATGTTGTAGTAATTTAATAGTTGAAAGCATTAGTCGATTGAATCTAGATTACCATGATGTCAACTATTAAATTGCTATAATATCCATAAAAGCCCTTTTCTGATATTAATCAGCATATGCACACTGTTGACTGGCTTCAAGAGCTATTTCCTGTAGTTCTAGGGAGAAGCCGTGACCAGTGGAGTTCAACCGGATCTGTTTTAAGATAGTAACTCACTAAAGATAATGTTGGATGTGTGGCTCAATTTCGTGGATTAGTTGAAGTTAGACATTAACATCATTGGATACTGGTAGGCTCGGAGATTTACAGGTTAAGCGTTCGCGCGTGAAACTGATAGGTTCTGATTTCGAATCTCACGAGACAAGATCGTGGATGCGCACAATATGACAAAACGGCTGTCCAGTGCATTCAGGTTTTCCATGGTTTTCTACCTTAAATTGATTCATGATCTCATCTATTAAAGAATCGTATGTGTAAATTGATTTGATATTGCTTACTTAAATCTTCCTATTGATGCTATGAACTGTTAGTGGTCAGTCTCTTATTAACATATGTGTATATTGTGCGTCTGATCTTTCATTCACAAGCATTATAAGCAAACATGGATAATGGTTAGCAGTAGAATCCAGCAGGTGCGTTTTGTTCGTTTGTACAACGAAAAGAGGATGAAAGAGATAAGGATTAATGTTTTGTAGCCATGGAAATTATAGTCTATCATTTTTCTAAAAAAATCACTGCATAAGAACAATATCTTAATTTGGATGTAACAACTTGATTTATTCTTCTTATATGTAAAGAAAATGAGACATTTCCGTTTATTAGTGGATAATTCAACTACTTGTAATAAGGATTTTTCGAAATATTTACCAAAGTATTTTGATGCACTACAAATCGCTTTACGTGTTAATGGTTGAGTAGTGAACATTAACCCTCCCTGAAAGAGTGCTAATGATTATGTGTATTGCATGATGCATGGATGAAAGTCTTTGCATTGATGGTATATATATAATGCGTAAGTTGTAGTAGATACGTTTGATGACAGCGGTGACCATTTACCCTCCCAGATGAATGAAGATACATATATGTATACTGTAGGGGGTTCGAGTGACAATTTATGTATTACAGGTATGTATGTTATTTATATTTCCTCATAGGGTGAGTATACCTATGTGTATGTCAAGGAATACATGATTACGACGCCTATGCACCAAGATGCTGTAGTTCAAACGATTTCCCTATTAAATCACGTCCATGAAATGAACTTGTGAGCTTCTGAAAGTGGATTCTAACCCAAATAATAGAACAGCGGGCTTTATCACATATGACTTTAACAACTTCAAATGATCAGAACATCGCACTGAATTACATAGTTCATGTAGTATACTAGTACTTCAGGGAAATAAGTCAAAAAAACGAACCACCTATTATCTTTAAATGTTTATTTTGCAGTTTTTTTAATCATAATACAATTACATTGTTTCTTTGCATTTTGTTTCTTTTGAAATGATAAATGTATCTCTATATGAATTAAATGATAACATGATGTAATTAATCTATTTATTATTTTAATAATACAGTCTATATTGGATTCAAATATAATCGGTTATTCATTAGATAGATGATAGATTTATTTACCAAGTCTTTGTGATATATAATATTTTCTTTTCATAAGACGTCGAACTAATGAATCACGTAGATTTGGATAATAATATTGATCAAGTTCATCGTGTGCATATGGTAACTCATAAGGCATAAATGGGTATCGATCCATTTCATTTTCAGATGCCACCACAGCACATTTAACTTTGACCAATGAAAATACAATAGATAATATTGACAAGATTAAAATTGATTTAAGCATTATTGGTGAATCTAAATGAGAATAAGAAAAAAAAGAGAAGAAAAGAATGTTCAGTATGATGAAAGGTTCTAAGTATTTATGGATAATATAATAATAAGGTTATCTTAATTACTTATTTACTTGAGCCTGTTACTCCTCGTGAAGGAGGATAGGCCACTCACTAGCATTCTCCATCCAACCCTGTTCTGGGCAAACCTTTCCAGTTGTTATTCATCCCTTTCACATCTGCTTCTATTTCATGACGTAATGTGTTCTCTGGCCTTCTACTTTTCCGCTTCCCGTCAGGATTTAAAGTTACGGCTTGCCTCGTGATGTAGTTTGACGATTTGCGTAATGTATGTCCTATCCATTTCCATCGTCTTTTTCTCATTTCCTCTTCAGCTGGAAGCTGGTTTCTTCTCTTCCACAGAAGGCTGTTGCTGATAGTATCCGGCCAATGGATGTTGAGTATCTTGCATAGAGAGCTATTAATAAAAACTTGTACCTTCTTGATGGTAGTCGTTGTAGTTCTCGAAGTTTCAGCTCCATACAGTAGAACTGTATTGACGTTGGTATTGAAGATTGTGAGTTTGATATTGTTTGAAAGTTGTTTTGAGTTTCATATGTTCTTCATTTGTAGCAATGCTGTCCTTCGTTTACCAATCCTCACCTTTAAATCTGCATCAGATCCTCTTTGTTCATCGATGCTGCTTCTCAGGTACCTGAAAGATCTCATATCTTCCAGAGTTTCTCCATCAAGTGTGATTAGGTTGGTGTTTTCCAACAGCAAGATGAAAATTCCTTGAATGAAATGAGTCAATTCATTTTGAACAAGTTGAAGTATATGGTTGACGATTCCTGAAATACCATCTAAATTAACTAAAACATTTTAAGACAGTTTACTGAACCAATTGATATCATTGAAGAAACCAATGAAAATAATAAAACAATAAACAAGTTATTCATCTCAGTTCAAAACAGTTATTTGCAAGGTTGTTTTCTACCAACGTCAAGACGGTTTTATTGTACGGAGCTGAAACTTGGAGAACTACCAGAATCATCATTAAAAGTGTACAATTATTTATAAACAATAGCCTACGTAAGATACTCAATATCCGTTGGTCAGATATCATCAGCAGCACCCTATTGTGGTAGAGAACAAACCAGCTTCCAGCTGAGGAGGAAATTAGGAAAAGATGGCAAAGGTGGATAGGACACATATTGAGAAAATTATCAAACTGCATCCCAGAACAAACCCTAAATTTTAATCTTGAAAGGAACCGGAGAAGAGAAATATCAAGGAAGACATTGACTTGAGACTTGAAAGCATACATGAAAAAGTTGAATAGCATCTGGAAAGAACTGGAAAGGATTGCTCAGGACAGAGTTGAATAAAGAGTGCTGGTGAGCGGCCTATGTTACTTCATGAGGGTAACAGGCGTAAGTATGTAAGTAAGCAAGTAAGTGAGTAGGTAAGTTAAGTAGATGGAAATAGAAAGATATAAAAATGACAAACAGTAAGCTTGTCAATATTGTCCTCTCAGTAATGTAAACATATTTTATCTAGACTATGTCATCAATATAAAAAGACATTTTGCGATAGCAATACGACCTCTGTGAAAAAAATCCATTTCAAGTATAAGAAAAAAATAAAAATACATTTGTAGATATCCCAAATGAGTAGCAAAATTAAATCTTCTGACGTTTCGTCACTTAGTGTGAGCCACTTCTTCAGAGAATAAATCAATAACCAAATCATAATTAATCCAAGTTTAAATTGTACAACGGAACACCTCAAGCATATTACGTGTGATTAATTAAAAACAGGTCGGACAAAGTCAATGTCATGTCATTCCAGTCAAAGTGATTTATCAGCGACGAGTATATAAATTTGAGTGTGTGTGTGTATTCAGGGTCAGGGATGAAAAATGTAACCTTTGTGGTGAGGATGGGTAGAGTTTAATTTGTATGTACGATAATAATGTAAAATGTGAATAGTATGAAATATGGTAGCTTGAATAGATAGTCCAAATTAGATGGAAATTAAGTGTTTTTGATTGATCGCACCTAATGTTCTTGCTTTGTTCCTTTTGTACTATTTAAACTTGCATTAATTTTGTTTTGGTTATTTACTTATTCTCTGAAGAAGTGGCTCATACTGAGTGACGAAACGTCAAAAAATCTAATTTTGATACTCATTTGAGATATCTACAAATATATTATTTTTGTTAATAATAGACTAACAATGAAAATCTGAAAGCACTGGACGGCCGTTTCTTCCTATTGTAGGACTCCGCAGCAGTATGCATAGGACGAAATGGCCATCCAGTGTTTCCAGGCTTTCCATGTTGGTCTAACTTCAACTGACACATAATCTCAACCATTAAAATTACTATAATATCCACAAAACCCCTTCTAATATTAGTCAAATATATATTTCTTTGTTATATATATATCCCAAATGAGTAGAAGTTATATTTCTAATGACATTTCGTGACTTAATATAAGTCATTTCTTCAGAATAAGTAAATAACACGTTATTTCCTTTATACTATTTAAACCTCTGTTAATTTAATTTCAGTTATTTATTTATTCTGAAGAAGTGGCCTAAATTAAGTCACGAAACGTCGTTAGAAAAGCATTTTCTCTATTTATTTGGAATATAACTATCCACTTAATACTAAGTTTATTTAAAAGTAACAAGTTCAAATTTAGCATTGATACCCTATGAAATGAACTAATTTCTTTGACCATAAATCCACTTTTTTTATTGTTGTTGAAATCTTACTCTCATGATATATGGTTATGATTGTCGAAATACTGAGAAAATTAGGTTAAAATATAAATCATTTATAATCGATTAGATATTTATTAATTTCTTTTTGTATAAGACAATGGTGGACAGTGACTCAATTTCGTGGATTGGTTGAAGCTAGATATTAACAATGTTGGATGCTGGCAGGCTCAGTTGTCTAGAGGTTGATCATTCGTGCGCGAGATCGATAGGTTTTGGGTTCGGATGTCGAGAGGTGGAATTGTGGATGCTCACTGCTGAGGAGTCTCATTGTAGGACAAAACGACCGTCCACTGCTTCTAGGTTTTGAGATGGTGGAGAAGATTTGTACCTCAGGTGGATGATTTTGATAGGGTTTTGTTCTCTGAGCTGGATGGTTTGATCGTAACTTTCATCGTTCTTCTGAACAACATCATCAAACCAATGGGAGATACAATCAAAACAAAGAAGTAAACAATGATAGTCTTAAGGTCAACAAAAACCAATCATTATCGTGATGTACAGGACAAGCTGTGAACCACATGTGGAGAAATTCGAACACTTCACTTCTACCTGAAGTTTGTGCTGATGATGTTGTTCAGAAGAACGATCAAAGCTCAACGACCAAACCATTCAGCTCAGAAAACAAAACTCCATCACAAACCTTCCAGGTTTCCCATGTCGGTCTAGCTTTAATAGACTCATGAATTCAATTATTTAATTACATATATTACTCTTTCATTTGAAATTAAGTGGTTATATTAATATTTGATAGATTGTTTTGTAGTTGTCAAAACTTAACAGTGCGCATTCACAATCCCGCACTCAGGACTTTTGATCTCACGCGCTAGCGCTTAACTCCTAAACCACTGAACCGGCATCCAACAGTGTTAATGTTTAACATCAACCAATCCACAATATTGCGCAACCGTCCATCATTATCTTCAGTAAGTAACTGCTTCACAATAGATACGGTTAGACTTCATTGGTCACTGTTTAAATTCCTACAATTTCCACAAACCCCTATTCTGAAAATAATTTATTTACTAATAAAACAAAAAACAGAGAAGTAATCTTGAAACTATAGTGAGAAATTGTAATCTGTGATATATTCAGCAATGTTGGCCGTGAGGCAAATACATTTGAAGTTAACGGATTCCGCTTATTCAATATTATAGCTTCACGATTATCTGCTTGGTGAATTTAATTTCTATGAAATGTTAATCTTATACGTAATAAATTGACCACGATATATTAGATCTGCGATATAAGGGTCTATTAATCACAATGAGTTGTTTCGATCTGGTCACAATTGATTGATCACTGGGTGGTGATCAATGTCATGTATGTCAAGTCCTTATTTAGTGCAGATCGAATGCTATCGACTATGTTGCAATACGGCCACCAGTCTAGGTGACTCGACACTGCGTGCACTATATATTGAGATTAGATTATGGTTGGAGGTAGTCGATAGGAAAACCTGGAACCGGGTTTCGTGCTACTTGGCACTCGTCAGCAAGGTTTACATGTAATCTTCAGGGAACTGGTGCTCCCTGTCGGGTGCGATCTGGTTCATATTTGGAGAAAAACTATCCTCTTATAAGTTATGAGCAAATATTCTAAATAAATATTTATTCAGTCATAATGCTTGCTTCATGATAGTTTCGTAAACTCATAATTAAGCTTAACTAAGATAATTATTGAATTCCGTCTGTAGGTGTTCTAGGATTACTGCCAGTCCCAAGTCCGTGTAAAAAAGGAGGGTTGGGTATGGGGTTGACAACTTCATCCCTCATAAAACGACCTTGCTAAAAATGATCACTAACCAGAATAAACAATTTCAACCATTTAAATTCCGCCTTGGGATTTGAAGGAAGATTTATGACACCTCATCATAAAAACCAAGATTAGGGATTGGAAACGGACATGAAAAGGAACAATAGCAACATGAACAAACTGAAAGGGATTATCCTGGATGGAGTTGAATGGAGAATGCTGGCGAACAATCTATGCTCCTCCATGAGGATGAATAGGCGTAAGTAAGTAAGTAAGACAATTATTGACCATAGACTTACCCACAAAATTTTTTTCAAAATTCTATGGCGTTATTTCGAATATTCTACACGTAGTGATAAAAAATATGGATTACTGCCAGACTGAAATTCAATCTTCGTAGCTTATACACAAATTTTATATTTTGTCAAAATTACAGATTTATTCAATAGCGATTTGAATGGAATGATTTGCGATTAAGTAGAATCAAACAGTTAACATAAAATGGAGATGATAATGTGAATGAATTCGTAAATTGGTTGAGGTTAGACATTAAAACCGTTGGATGCTGACAGACTCAGTGGTCTATATGTTAAACGTTCGCGCTCAAAACCGAAGGTCCTTGGTTCGAATCCTGCGAACGGGATCGTGGATACACACCGCTAAAGAGTCCTATAATAGGATGAAATGGTCTATCCAATGCTTCCAGATTTTCAATGGTGGTCTAACATCAATCGACTCATGATCTCAATTCAATATTTATTATCCTATAGAACTAAAGTAAAGGTGAACTCATTGTCTTTTTGAAGTTATTCCATGTTTATAAAAGAACCGCCTACATTTAGCTGTTATAGACCGTATGAAAATATGTACATCTCAATGGCTCCCTTAATATGAAATTGACGATACTGTCTTTCATTGCGAATAGTTAGCAAGTTCAATTATAAAGTTTGATCATAACTGTTTAGAAATTCTTGTGAGACGATTAGAAGTGTCAATGCTCATTAGGTTCATAGTACTTCTAAATTATGTAGATGTCAAGGATTCTGTAATCGAATGGGATAATATCCATACATGTATAAGATCTTTTTCTGTATCATACATTATAGAATGTAATGTAAAATTCCGTAGTTATCTTGTAGTGAACGACAACAAACGCAGGGATAACCAAATGTATTTTAATACAACGTTACAGAATATCTTAGTAAAATATGAGAACCATACAGTAAACACTTCATTTGCAATATATCCATCAATTGTCACGAACCATGTTGTTCCTTCGTATTCATACCAATCACTCACTGTTTTCCTTCTCTTCTCTTCTCTTCTCTTCTCTTCGATTTTCTTAACCTTCTGCCATTAGGCATTTCACTTTCAATTGATGATATATACTACTTATTTCTGTCAATATCAGTAGCACACACCACAACGATTCATCTTTTTGTATCTTAGCTCATCTCAATGATGTATTCTATAAATAATAGGTGATAATATCAGTGAACTTTGAATTTTTATTCCTATTTGAGGATATACTCTTATCTTAGCTTTCTTTTTGTTTATACCAAAATGACTTATTAACTAAGAACTAGAGACTGGTTATAGATATAACTTATCCTATAAAGACATATATATCCCAGAGATAAAACGTTAATTTCAATGTTTCAATATTTGTTTGTTTGTTTTTATGTTAGACAAACAAACATTTTCTGGGAAAAAAACAATATATTACTGACAATGATGTTTCATTCATTACAGTCTGACATTCCCATATTGTAAATTTAGAACAACAGAGATATAAGCGAACAATATTGTTTTTGATTAGATCCTCATTAGGCTTTACTCTAATATACAGTAATATTTATATGCATATATGAAATTAATTAAACCAATCAAGGTAGTTTATGAGTTAGTGATAACAGTGGAATAGATTACATAACTAAAAATAATAGGTGGAAAGTACAAATTCATAATGTGATGACAGGTGTACTAGATGTGTTCGATTTAATATCTTACACATAGCAGAAGCTATAGGAATTCGAGTCAACAATCCAAGTCTTTGTGTTCAGAAGAAATTTGTAACAACTTTTATTTCTCTAATGGCCTTAATGAATAACCTTAGTTACTGTTATTTTCCATACTCTTTCTTCGTTTTATTTTTCTTCACCCCTTCCCACTTTTTACTTTCCTCAAATATACGCCTCATGGTCCAATTATCCGAACACCACTTATTATGTAATCTTATAATAATTTTGATGAATGCTATTTCTGTGTCTGTATTTTTTTCCCATTATGTAAGATTGGTTCATTCTTTTATTATTCATTATCACATTTAGTACACCTATCATCGAACTACAAACTTTTACTTTTCACTTCTTTAGTTATGCAATCGTTTTCATTGTTATCATTGACTCATAAACTGCATTGATTGATACATTAATTCCGTATATACGTATGAATATTAATGTGGATTAGAGTAAAGCCTAACGAGGATCTAATCAAAACAAGTAAACATAAATCAATAGTTGAGATCACGAGTCAATAGAAGCTAAATCACTATGGAAAACTTGGAAGCACTAAACAGCTGTTTTGTCCTATTTAGTCAGTGTTCACATAATTTCTTTCAACGATTCAAAAAAAAGAACAACATATTGTTTGATTATGATAAGATATATTTGAAGGTGGGACTATAATTTATGGATGACATTTGAGCGACGCCAGACTCACCTTGAGGGTGTTCACCTAATTAATATCTAAGACTAAATGAGGGTTATAAACCTGTGTGAAGACTGTGAATTATGATTTACAGTTGAAGGTTGAGGGTTAGGAATTGGATTTATGGTTTTCATTAGGAACTGACATCAGCTAAACTGTCAAGAACGCTCTTTAATCAAATGGATGAATGACTTTCGCGGCAAAATCCAAGACGTTTTATCTTATATCTGATTGGTTCGTCCATAAATTATAGTCTCGCCAATTTGAAATAAAACTTGAATAAATTTACTCCTTACACGAAAAAAGCCGATGGGATAATGATTTTATGATGATGGTACCTAATCTTATATAAAAAATATTTGCTATAAGGGACTTATAAATAATGAATTATTCTAGTAACTAGTTATTCCATGGTAATGTATTGTGTACTACTGATGTCGACAGTTATAAGTAGTATGAATCATCAATCGAAAGTGAAATGCCTAATGGCAGAAGGTTAAGAAAATCTAATAGAAGAGAAGAGAACAAAAACAATGAGTGATTGGTATAGAGATGAAGAAACAACATGTTCTGTGACGATTGATCGATATTTTGAAAATGGTTCTCAGATTTGATCAAGATATTCTGTAATGTTATGGTTTCCCTATTCCTGTTCTTCTTCTCAACAGTATTTTTACTTATCGAACATGAAAATATCATTTAGATGATAGTTTGAAATTACCAAATTAATGATCATTGTTTTTTCAACGTTAGTTATAAGTGTTGATTGCCAATTATGAACTGAAAATGATCTCATGATTAATAACATCAAGACCATAATCTAACTTGTAGTTTGATTTATTGAAGCTTCAGTTAAAACAACTGATCATATTCTACTGTTTCATTAATGAACAAAACCAAAAAAACACTGAAATACTTTGATATTAAGTCTATGACTATTATACAAATTAATGTCAACCAATGAATCCGTTGGCCAGACACTACCAGTAACAACCTACTATGAGAAAGAACAAACCAAATCCCAGAGGAGGAGAAAATCAGGAAAAAGCGCTGGAATTGGACAGGGCACACATTGAAGAAAGCATCCAACTGTGTCACAAGACAAGCCTTCACTTAGAATTCTCAAAGCAAAAGGAGAAGTAGAAAATCAAAGAGCACACTACACCGAGAATTGGGGACATACATAAGAAGAATGAACTAGAAAGGAAGGTTCAGGATAGAGTGTGTTGGAGAATGTTGGTCCATCGGTTTATGCTCCAATGGGAATAACAGGTGTAAACAAGCAAGTAATTGGATATTTGAAAAGAAAAGTTTAGATGATTTGGAATTGAAATATGATATATATATATATATATATATATATATATATATATATATATATATATATATATATATAATGGAATTGGAGTCAATGTTGCCTACTCTCTCTCTCCCTACTTTCTCTTTCTTCTACATACTGGTTAATTGAATCATGGAAGCTTCCACAATTAAAAAGGAAACATAGTATACAATTATATGGTAACAACTACATAATGAATTCAATTCTATTCATAATTTATATTCGATTTTATTAAGAATAATACATAAATCATATATTACTATAATAATAATAATAGTAGTAGTAATGTATATTATTAATAATTAATAACTTACATTTGATATTAGTTGAATACACAATTAGTATACTAAATAGTGATGTATATTTCTATTACTAATATAACTGTTATAAGTAGCTAATTTAATATTCTCTTAATAAAATATAATTTTCATAGGAGAATAATTCAAATTATTATTTATATAGATTTATGATTACTTTTTTTCCCAAAATTTGATTGGTCAATTTTAAAAAACCATTATAAAGGAATGAAGGAATAAATGAAGCAATGAATGAAGCAATGAATGAATGAAGCAATGAATGAAGGTATGAAGGAATAAGGCAATGAACGAAGGAATGAAGGAATGAATGAAGAAATGAATGAAGGTATGAAGGAATAAGGCAATGAACGAAGGAATGAAGGAATGAATGAAGGAATGGATGAAGAAATGAGTGAAGGAATAAATGAATGAATGGATGAAGAAATGAATGAAGGTATGATGGAATAAGGCAATGAACGAAGGAATGAAGGAACGAAGTAATTAATGAAGAAATGAATGAAGGTATAAGGCAATGAACGAAGGTATGAATGAATGAACGAAGGAATGAAGGACTGAAGGAATAAATGAACGAATGAATGACGGAATGAATGAAGCAATCAATTCTGGAAAACATTAGAATACAGTCGGACATATATAAATCTATATAGAACTTTTGAATGAGACAGTTTAAGTGAAGGATTGAACATGTTGAAATGTTGTAAATTATATGAAGTAATGATTTTATCCGCTAAGACTTACTGAATAAATAAAGTAATATTAAATACCATGTATTCTATTCATTATCTTGATTTATCAAAGTCATTTAATGGTATAGTTTTTTAAAATAATTTTTATCATTTTCATATTAACTGTTCAGTGTATGGTGATTATTGTCATGTTTGTTTAATCATTGTAGTGTAGATCGTTGAAGTCACTAACTTCTTAACTATCAAAATCCTGTGGGTATTTGAATACGCCAGTTCACTGAATATTTTATACTTTATTGATGTTACATGAATCATAAATATATAGTTGACTTTTGCCAACTTACGTCACCAATGGCGAAGGTGAGATATCCGTCTGTCAATTAAAGGACGAGTACACTACACGATAGTTTGTTCTATCCTACTTTACAGCTGAGAAACGTGGCCATTAAGAGTGGAAGATACTGGTAAGTTAGTAATACTTGATTACAGATGTGTTAGAAATATTATTCGCATCTTTCGAGATCACTACCCAATCTCCCTACTTTGGGAAGCCGCTTTAGAAACTTTTGTGGAAATGGCACAAAAAACCCAAAACAGGGAGATTGAGCGGGTAAGTAATAGTAAGGTTAGACGTAGGGTATTAGGTGATGATGGTAAATCAGTTAATGAGGTTGTGAGTCTTCATCGACTGAGATGGTTGGGGCACGTGTTACGTATGCCCGAACACCGATTACCACGACGTGCGATGCTAATTGGTGTTGGAGATGGTTGAAAGAAAAATAAGGGCGGCCAAACCAAAACGTGGCATCAGTGCTTGAAGACACTAACTTCTAGTCTGAGCCATGTTGGTAGATGCAGACTACTTAGTTCGGGTCTGAGTAACTATCATAACCAATGGTTGGAGACTCTTGGTGACATAGCTCAGAATCGATCACGATGGCGTAGGTGTATACACTCTTTCTCATCCCTTACTTAAACTAAGAGATTAAAATTGCTTCATATCTTTCTTTCTACGAACTAATTCTTTCTTCCTGCACTATATCCTTATTGCAATCTTTCTTTTATATATTACCACCTCTGAATTAACTACTTTTATGAATCCCGTGTCCATCCTGTTGTGTTAATGAGGTATGGCAACTTGTACCGACGCATATATGTGCCTGACTCTACGTTGTAGCTGACTGACTGAGATCTGTTAATCAAGCCGTATTTTGGTTAGTAGTCCAACTGGTTCCAGATCCCATTCAGTATGTTTTAATGTTAAGTAGTTGAAGGCAGTTGAAAGCAAACCACGAGCCTAAATTAAGTAATGATTGAAATTCATTATTAGTAAGGCGTAACTGTAATGCGAAAGAAAGTGACACTTCAAGTAGAATTCGACTTGGCATTACGCTGCTTTATGGACTAAACAACTATTCAGCAAACCATTACGGTAAATATTTTTGTTTAAAAGAAGATCAATCAAGGCATGACTAGCTCACTGGTAGTATCGCAAACTATAAACCAACATAACTCAAATGCGAACCTCATAGGATGTATAAATCAGGAATACAGATGTAACTTACTGACGAATGTCAATAAGCACGAAAATTTAGGTCATAACCCTCCTGTTGATTTCCTTTAATCCTCAAATACTTGTAATTACTTACTAATGAATAATTAATGAATTTCATGTTCTATACCCCCCCCCGAAAAATTAAGAGAATAGTCAATGTTAGTGATTCAAAGGAAATGAAGAAGGTCAAAGTTAATAAGTTTTATCTGTATATTATTCATTACGTGATTAAATATACAAAAATTTTTTTAATGTTTTAAAACTGAATTTTATTTTCGCTTAGTGATTCATTCTTGTTACTGTGTTTAAAATCTATTTCAATAGTTGAAATCACAAGTCAATTGAAGCTAGACAACAATGAAAAACCTGGAAACACTGGACGGTTGTTTCGTTCTATTGTGGGACTCCTCAGCAGTGCACATCTACGATCTAGCCTCACGAGATCCATGAGATAGTAATCCACTGAAGACAAAGGTGGATATGTGGCTCAATTTCGTGAATTAGTTGAAGTTAGACATTCACATCGTTGAATGCCGGTAGACTCAGTTAATACATACTTACTACATTAGCCGGCACTAATCACCTTGTTTGTAATTAGCTATGTTGAAGCGATTTGTTCACTGAATGTGCGTGCATCTTTATTTCTCCTGATTGTTGTAATTAGTTGACTTATGATGATCATCAGGAGATATCTATTGCCTCTTGGAATATATAAAGCATTACTAGCTTAAATTGATAGATTCAGTAGGTTATGTTAAGCAACAAATACAAATTCAAACTCTTTATTTGGTGTTGAGTGCTTAGATTCGTTGGTATTGTGTCCTCTCAGGTGAATGGTACATTCGTAAAGCTTTCATTCCACTGGATACCATCAGCAACAGCGTACTGTGGAAGAGAACAAACCAGCTTCCGACTGAAGAGCTAGTTAGGAAAAGACGGTAGAGGTGGACAGGACACACATTGATAAAATCATCGAACTGCATCATAGAACAAACCTTAAATTGGAACGGAGAAGAGAAATATCTAGGAACACATTAACTTGGGAATCGGAAGCAGACATGGAGAGAATGAATTACAACTGGAACGAACTAGAAAGGATTGCTCAGGACAGAGCTGGATAGAGAGGGCTGGTATGTGGCCTATGCTTCTCCATGAGGGGTAACAGGCGTAAGTAAGTAATAAACTCAACACAAATCATGTATACCTATTTGTAACTATTTGTTAATTGTTTAATTCACACGAAAAAAGGAAATATATATTTTTTAATGAAGAATTCAGAATATTTTAGAACTATGTGATATATACGAATATTCAAACCCCCCTTATGTATTCAAAAACAGTTTGTTCTCACCTTAAACCTAACTTGGTGATTAGGTTTCAAGTTGTTTTCACATTATTATTTTCTTTATCACCCTTGTTTCCTCTTACCCTCCATTTCTAGTCTAGTTCACTTTTCATTTTTACATATAAATGATCTTAACAACTATGTAATGTGTGGTCAGATTGCTCAAAATATATTGCGTTAATATATATCATCACATAGTTCTGATCATCTTCGTCTACTTCTTATTACACTATCGAAATATACACATGTGATATATGCTACTTATGTCTGTTGATATAAGTAGTATGTAACATCGATCGGAATTGGGAAATATGGAAGTACATGGCTAAAAAGATCAATTTGAAAAGAATAGAAAGAAAAATATAAACGAAGAATCATACAGAAAGTGAAAGGACATTTGATGAAAGATTTCTAAATAAAGTATTCAATGTATGATTCTTATATTTCACCAAGAAATTCTATAATGTCATGTTTACTTAATTTGGTTAATGTTCTTATTCATAATTGAAATTATTAAAATCTCCACAAAACCCCTTCTGATAATAATTATCTGCTCACTAGTGACTGGCTTCAAGTGGCATTTCTTGGAGTTCTAGTGAGAAGCCGTGAACAGTGGAGTTCAACCGGGTCTGTTGTGAGATAGTAACTCACTGAACACAATGGTGTACGGTGGCGCAACTTCGTGGATTGGTTGAAGTTAGACATTAACACCGTTGAATGCCGACTGGCTCAGTGGTCTAATGATTAAGCGCTCGCGCGTGAGACTAATAGGTCCTGGGTTCGGATCTCGCGGGGGTTGGGATCGTGGATGTGCACTGCCAAGGAGGAGTCCCATACTAGGACGAAGCAGCCATCCAGTGCTTCCAGGTTTTCCATGGTGATCTAGCTTGAATTAGCTCATGATTTCAACCATTAAAATTACTAAAATCTTCACAAAACACCTTCTGATACATACATATATGTTTATTCACTTTCCACAATGTATATTATTATTATTTTCGTTATTCAATTGCACGCAATGTATTTTCTTCCAAACAACAGTTGACTTCATGTAGTACATTGAAGCATATCAAACATGTGACTGAATAAAAGAAAAACACAAAAATAACATAGTGAACATATATCCTTACAAGCAAACAAGCTTGAGTAGACATGTTTACCTAGACAATAACGGATAAAAGAAAACAAAAAAAAAACAAACAACAGAAACCTGTATGAACCATTTCAATTATGTGTACTCTCTAGATCGTTTTGTTTTGCATGAATGATTCAACAATTTTCAATGATTATTTCATTTGATTTGTTTTATATTAACTAATAAATAATGAAGTTAATCTATTAGTGTCTTTTTATTGTTGATTTACACTTAAATGATTATGAAAAAAGAAAATAAATGAAACATGTTATGTAATCAACAGTTCTTTCAAATGATGGCGTAAAAAAGGTTGTGCTATCTTACTTTGTAGCACTTGTAATCGTTTATGAGTATCGGTTGAGTGGTTGATTAGTCCGAACTCTACCATGCAGTTTATTGCTAACGTTAGTTTATAGGATAAGTCCTACTATTCAGAAGGCACGACGAGGATATGTCAGTCGGGTTTTACTTCTGTCACGTAAAAGGTGAAATATATGTTTGAATTATTCTCCTAACATGTTTTATTAAATGATTATCTTTTATTGGAATGATTCCAGGTATTGAATTTACTTTTCGACTATTATTTCCATCTATACTTACTTACTCCTGTTACTCTCAATGGAGCGTAGGCCGCTGACCAGCATTCTCCAACATACTCTATTCTAGACTTTCCTTTCTAGTGATATTCATTTCTTTTTCATTCTTCTCATGTCTGTCTCCATTTCTCAGTGTAATGTGTTCTGTTGTATTCCTCTTCTCATTTGGCTTTGGTGATTCTAAGTGATGGCTTGTCTTGTGACGCAGTTCAGTGCTTTCTTCAATGTGTGTCTTATCCACTTCGAGTGCTTTTTTCTGATTTCTTACTCCTCTGGGGTCTGGTTTGTTCTTGCCCATAGTAGGTTGTTGCTGATAATATCTGGTCGACGGGTCTGAATTATTTTGTTCCCATCATATTTTACTATAATCTGTATTGTAGTGAACGAGAATACAAGTGGGGACAGTTGAATGTATGTGAATACAGAATCGCAGAACGTCCTAATAAAATC